AATGTGATGACCATATATGGTCAGGTGACTCATCAAATATGCACAAATGTTATATCTCAAGCACTGTTACAGATAGGAACATGCAACCAATGCAATATTGAAGTTATTGCACAACAGAGCTGAAAAAAACATCCGATGACCGTATATGGTCATGGGACATTATTAAATATGCAAGATTGTAATACCTTAAGCACTGTTACAGACAGGAACATGTAACATGTTTAGTATGAAGGCCATGCAATTTCCTTTAATATATTATTGTCAATGATGCTGATTTTGGAACGCTGCTAATATGTCAGTGGGCTCGAAACCCGACATTGCTGCAACGCAGCTATATTTATTATTATTATTATTATTATTATTATTATTATTATTATTATTATTATTATTATTATTAATATTGGATAAATGTGGGGAATAGGTGGGAAGTAATCCACAACTGACCTTGAAAAACGGTCATTCTTGACATGTGTGAAATTTACAGAGCTGATTAATATTTTAATATTTAAAAATATGTTTAGTTCCTTAAAAAATCGAGGAATATGAGAACAGAAGTTTGAAAAAGTTATTAATCGGACGATCGTTTTTTCTAAAGAATCAAAATACGTTGGTCAAAAAGGAAAAAATCATTTCCCCAGATTTCTATGCAATAGCTTAGATAGGGCAGAATTTAAGTATTATAGATCAGAATTGGGATAGATTTGGGAAGACAGTGACGAAGTTGTGAAATAATTTCTATTTTTTGTTTTTAAACTTTCTTTATATAGTCTTCCATTTTCACTTATATGTTTGTCAATCGTCACTGCAACGACGAACATCCCCAATAAATGATCCAAACACACCAATATTTCCCTTCGTTATTACTCTTTGAAAATCGTTACTTAAGGATAGGTTATTGAATAAATTGGTACGCTGAATTTACCATATCATTGATGTAAACGGGAAACAAAATAGGTGGCGTCGACGAGATGTTGTCTACTAGTATTGTAACGAATTGGTGGCGATTATGCATTCAGCAATGCTCAAGTTGTGGTAGAAGCATATTATGATTGATTGCGTCAAGTAATTTTTTAGATTAATAAATACACCGAATAAATTCACGCCATTATTGAAGTTGTTGATCATACGTTTTGCGGAATACTCGAAAGTATATGTTTTTCTCTGAGTAATTGACAAACTGTTTAAGTGATTCGACGATTTTGTTGAAAATATGTAAGATTTTTGTCGGTAATTTCTTACTTCTACAGTGCTTCCATTTTTGTAATCAAGAATGGCATTTTTTTTAAAGGAACAGTGAAAATAACTTCACTCCGTGAACAATTGGTTATGTATGTCAAGGGTGTCTCAAGTTCATGGACTGGGTGAGAGTAAAAAACGGTTATAGTGATTGCTATGGAGATACTCAGACTGGAAGAAGTCGGTGGTGCCATTAACGTTAGCAGCTAAATTGGGTGAATGGTCGTTGTTTGTTGTGGTTATGTCAGTGCTGTTAATGCATGCATTGAAGGTAGATACGATTGTTGGAGCTTAGTCAGTATGTTTCTATATTCAAGTTGTTTATATCTAATTTTACAGGAAACATATTGTGGTTTGTTTTTTATTTTACTGAAACCCTAATGTTATGATGAATTTTACCAAAGCTTTGATCATCCCTGGTTTACGAATTGAAATGGGCCCTTGTAAGTTCATCATGGAATGCCGAGTAGGCATAACTTGGTTCAAAAGTATCGAAAACAGATTTCTAGGATGCACGCAGTATGTGCCAACTGAGTTGATTGATACTGCTAAAATAGGATAATGATCAGAAATGTCTGAAAGAATTGTATCACTTTCAATAAAAGGATCTGAAATATTTGTTAGTGAATGATCAATTGCGATGCTAGAATTATCTGCCACACGAGTGGGTGTGTTAAAAGTTGTGAATAGTTATAAGTACATAGGGTACGATAACATGTTGCGGGTGCGTTATTTAATGATGTGTCAATGTTTAACCGCCGACAAATACCGGTGTACACGGCCTGTCCTTAGCAGACAGCTAATTGAGACGTGCATCTAATCTGTCCGGGAATTAGTGATAACGGGTGTTCACGTATGAAGATTTTCTTGTTGTTCATAACTGTTTCCAGAAAGATCGATTCACATTTAGTAATTTTGATTGTACATATGAATACATTTTTGGGATAATGAACACGAGCTCAACGGGTGGAAGTATAGTTGCCGATATACTCTTCGCCACCACTTTTTATTTTATAGTGGTGGCGGCGATATCCCACATTAGCTCGTATTTATTATCCCAGAAATGTGTCGAGCGCCAGTGATCGCGGGCGGAGTTTCTCGTCGGAGCAGATAACACGCGACAGTTGTGGCATTTTTATCTTGAAACCTTCCCCCAGTACTGCACTTTCGAGGATGGTGAAAGCACAGACTGAAAACACATCTGAATAAATGAAACGGTGATTGTTATAATAAGTGCGAACTGCTCATCCCGAACGGGACTGCCCACAAGAACGCCAAATTTGAAATTGTAATATTTGTACGAATCTGATTGGTCGATAACTTTGCTAACGCGCCCAATCAGATAAGACTTGAAACGTACACGCTTGTGAATAGAATTACCACAGGGGTTCGTGTAGACTTGCTTGCAGTCTGTTGCGATTCCGATGAAAAATTCTTGAAAAATAAATATAAATTGCGTAAACGAGGGGTGAACGCGAAAGTCATGTGACCGCGAAATCCCAACAGACTTGCCA